ATCAGGGAAGGCCTAGACACTATTTGGTCCTGCCATGAGGGCAGGGGACTGGACTCGATGACCTCTCGAGGTCCCTTCCAGCCCTAGAGTCTATGAATCTGGGAGCAGTGGGAGTGGGGAAGGGACGGATCAGAGCGGTGGGCAGCAAATGGCATGTTAGAGCCGCCAGCAGCGGGGCTGGTTTGATTTCCTTCGGGTTTCGTACTAGTTCTGGGTGGGGAGTTGCTGGATCCTGGAAAGACTGGCACAGACTTCAGCGGGGTTCGGTCCAGCCCCCCAGTTCACAGAGGCCAAAGGAGGCGAGGGGGTAGGAAGCAGGGCCTGGGGGCAGCTGGAGAGGCTGAGGTGAAGAGCTAGGGAGGGGATGGGTGCAAACAGCTGCTGGGGGGGGGGGGGGAAGGGAACATCACTGGTGTTTCCCTCCGAAGGGAAACTGAAGAGAGAAGTCGGTGGCATGCGCTGCCCGCACTGTCTGCGTCCCTATCTCTGCAGCTGCCACCGAGCGGGGAGGAGGGATCGAAGGGAACCGAGACCAGGGCACCGGGGCCCCCGGGCCGGTTGGCAGCCCGCTGGTCATGCCCCCAAAGGCTGCTCTTGGGGGGCTTCCATTCATCCCCACGTCCCATCGCGCTTCACCCAGGGCTGGTCCCTGAGCCCCCTGCCCCTGGACACCACGTCTCCGGGCTGCCAGGCGGCTGCTAGCCGGTGCCAGGGGAGGCAGAGAGCCTCTTCCCGAGCACGGCCCATGGGTGGGAGTCCGGGGCCAGACTGTAGGGAAGGCCCCTGCCCTGGCCCCGAGGGGATGGGCTGCAGGAGTCCCGGCCTGTGGGGAGACGGGGAGCAGCCGAGGAGCGCAGCGTCCAGCCTGGAGCGCGGAGAGTCGGGGGAAAAGGGGACCCCGGGCTACCCTCCCACCCGGGGCCGTCTCCCGTCCAGCCCCAGGGGCCCCAGCGGGGATGGGGGGGGGCGGAGCTGTCCGGCAGAAGAGAACGGACGGGGGGGGGGGCGCTCACCTTGCTCCGGGGGCGCCATGTGGGCTGGGGTGCGAGGGTCCCGATCCGGGGAAAGGAGGGAGGGGCCCGGCCCGGCGCCGCGGAGCTCCCCGGGGAAAGCAGCCCGGCACGCCTGGCCGGCCGGAGGAGCCGAGGAGGAAGTGCCCCAGGCTGGGAGGGGGCCGAGCTTTGTACCTCTCCCCCCGCCCCCGCCCCGCCAGCGCTGAGCTCAGGGACGCAGCAGCATCGGGAAGTCCGCAAGTGGCTCCCTGTCCCGGGGCCGGGGGGCTGGGATCCTGGCTTGTGGATAAACGGGGGGAGACTTCAGCACTTGAGTCCAGCGCCCTTCATCGGCGTTAGATACACACAGAGGCGCTGTGCATGGCGGGGACCGTGTGGAGCAGCAGGGCAGAGAGGGACATACACCTGAGAGCGGCCAGACGGGGTCACAGCAAGGGTTCTCTAGCCCAGTGTCCTGTCTGCCGACAGCGACCAATGCCAGGTGCCCCAGAGGGAATGAACAGAACAGGGAATCCTCAAGTGATCCATCCCCTGTCGCCCATTCCCAGCTTCTGGCAAACAGAGGCTAGGGACACCCTCCCTGCCCAGCCTGGCTAATAGCCATTGATGGACCGATCCTCCAGCAACTTATCTAGTTCTTTTTTTTTAACCCAGTTATAGACTTGTCCTTCACAACATCCTCTGGCAAGGAGTTCCACAGGTTGACAGTGTGTTGTGGGAAGAAATACTTCCTTTCGTTTGTTTTAAACCTGCTGCCTATTTCATTTGGTGCCCCCTAGTTCTTGTGTTATGAGAAGGATTAAATATCACTTCCTTATTTACTTTCTCCACACCTGTCATGATTTTATAGACTTCAATCCTATCCCCTCTTTGTCGTCTCTTTTCTAAGCTGAATGGCCCAGACTTTTAAATGGCTCCTCCTACAGAAGCTGTTCCATCCGCCTCATCATTTTGGTTGCCCTTCTCTGCACCTTTCCCAGTTCTAATCTCTCTTTTGTGAGATGGGGGCGATCAGATCTGCCCACAGCACTCAGTATTCAAGGTGTGGGCGTACCATGGATTTAGATAGCGGCAACATGATATTTTCTGTCGTCTTCTTTATCCCTTTGCTAATGGTTCCCAACATTCTGTTCGCTGTTTTGACTCCACGGCCCATTGAGCAGATGTGTTCACAGGTCTAGCCCCAGTGACTCCAAGATCTCTGTCTTGAGTGGTAACAGATAATTTAGACCCCATCGTTTTGTATGTAGCGTTGGGATTATGTTTTCCAATGTGCATTACTTTGCATTTATCAACAGTGAATTTCATCGGCCATTTTCTTGCCCGGTCACCCAGTTTTCCCTTTGTAACTCATCTCAGGCAGCTTTGAACGTATCTTGAGTGATTTCGTATTATGGTCTAGACAGTATTTGGTCCTGCCATGCGGGCAGGGGACTGGACTCGATGACCTCTCGAGGTCCCTTCCAGTCCTATAATCTATGAATCTATCTGCAAACGTTGGCACCTGTTAACCCCCTTTTCCAGATCATACATGAATATGTTGCACAACACTGGTCCTAGTACAAATCCTTGGTGGACCCCAGGCTACTTACCAATTTCCATTGCGAAAGACACACACTGAACAGGGCTTATCCGAGGCAGCGGGGAGACAGAAACACATGCACAACCCTTTTCATCTGGTTCAATGACAGCTTTAAATGTGCCAGAAATCAGGCGATGAGAAAACAAAGGTTGAAGACATCACCTGAACTCTGCCCCCTCCACCCTTGTGTATACACATCACCAAATAGTCCTTAATCAGACGCTCACAGGTTTCTGCCCTAGAGTTGTTAGGGGAAAGAAAGAATTATATTATCTGAGAAATAGTGTGTGATTTCTTTAGCAAGGACTGTATTGTAAAGCAGATGTGATTGGGGGCAGAGTTAAGGTTATGTGTCCTTAAAGTGTCTTTAACGTCCTGATTTTGTCTGGTTTAATGCATAACAGTAATGTTACATTAACATGTTTGTCGCTTACTTTCCCCCCCCCCCATAAATAAATAAAAGGGAAAGAAACCCCCCAGGGCTTTTAGACTTGACCAGTTCACAAACTCCTTGAATGTGAGCTTAGGAACTCCACACCACAAATTCTCTCCTTCGGTGGAAGCTGCAGGCTCTTCAGAAACATCAAGATTTCTGCTTTGAAGTTATAGAATCATAGAATAGCAGGGTTGGAAGGGACCTCAAGAGGTCATCTAGTCCAACCCCCTGCTCAAAGCAGGACCAATTCCCAGCTAAATCATCCCAGCCAGGGCTTTGTCAAGCCGGGCCTTAAAAACCTCCAAGGAAGGAGACTCCATCACCTCCCTAGGTAACGCATTCCAGTGTTTCACCACCCTCCTAGTGAAATAGTTTTTCCTGATATCCAACCTGGACCTCCCCCACTGCAACTTGAGACCATTACTCCTTGTTCTGTCAGTTAGGCCGTGTCTACAGTATACCGGCAGGGCTACGGCGCCGTGCTAGGCCGGCATAACCCCAGAGCATAGACACAGCCTGCACCTCCCTGAGCGACAGCAACTAGGTCGACAGACACATTCTTCTATCGACCCAGCTGTCTGCATGTCGGGGATTGGGTCAGCAGAGCTGTGTCATGCAGGGGGCGGGGGGGGGGATTTTGAACACCCCTGGGTGTTGTATTTATGTCAACCTACATTTGAACCGTAGATCAGGCCTTAGTTTATGGAGAAAGATTTCTGCCCTGAAATGCCAAGCCCAGCGGGTGCTGCCCCATCATGGGCGATTGAAGGTGCTGCTGAAAAACAAATAAAGAACAAGGAACATCTCGGTGTAACTACAGTGGGTGTGACCCAGCGCCTGAAATACAAGCACGACATCGACACTCCAGGGAAAGAGCTTCGATCCGATCGCAGGGTCGAGGCCCGGATCCTGCGCAGGGACACCCCCGGGCAGCCCTGGCTCAGCGTCAAATTTACCACCTGACCCTGCTCACGTGAGTAGTCCTTGCTCACCTCCCTGTTGATTGCAGTGTTAAAGATCTCATCCCATTTGGGGTAAGTGCTTGAGACCACATCCTGCCCCTGCATGTTGGACCACAGGCTTGTACCGACTCGATCGTGATTTTTGCCAAAGGGAGACGGGGTGGGGGGGGGGAGCCTCTGACTCCAGCTCCTATTCTCAGAGCAGCGTCGGGGCCTTTCTGCGGTCACTGCCTTCGTTGCAGAGGAAGGTGCGGTGCCGGTCGCTCTATTTGCAGCGTGAAGACCCAGAATTATCGCAGGGGAACGGAAGGTGAGGCACTGGCCCCGGCTTTGTGGTGCACACCGGGGTGTCTGGTTACGGAACTCGCACGCTACGTGCAACACAACCCCTGAGCTGTGTGTACAAGGCTTTGCAGACTAACCCAAACCGGCACGGACCGGCTCCAAAGGATTGAAGTGAGATGCTGCACCAGTGCGGGGCAGGGTGGGGACTGGAGGTGGCAGGGGAGAGGCAGCGTTGGGGGTTGGCCACTCAGGATTGCTGGAGTAGGAAGAACGTGAAGGTGCTGAAAGACACACGGCTCAAGAAGGGGTTTCAAGGCCAAGACCGAGGCCAGCCCGGGTCGGGGGGAGGTTTCAGGCCTAGCCGACGCATGGGGAAATGCTGCAGCGGGCAGAGGGGCAGGACAGCAGGGGACTGGGGTGGCATTCGGAGTGCGCCACACAGGCTGGGGTGCAGGAGGTGCCGAGGACTGAGCCACAGGGCTGAGCAGCAGATGCCGAGCCTGGGAGCGGCCTGTGATACGCTCAGGCGCTCTGGTTCCCCAGCCTGCCCTGCCCAGCTCACCGGTAGGGCCTTGTCTACACTACACAATTGAGTCAATCTAAGTTAAGTCGACAACAGCCAATGCTGTCATTAAAGCAGGGGTTCACACGCACACTCTACTTTCTGTTGGCGGTGTGTGTCCTCACCAGGAGCCTTTCCGCCCACTGCCATGGGGCATTGTGATTATCCCTGAGCGACAGGTGGGGAAACTGAGGCATGTGGCAGGGTCATCAGCTGCGAGCCCTGCACCGGGGCTGACAGCTCGCGTTGTCAGCCCTGGGGCAGGAGGTGGGGGCGCTCCGGCTGTGAGCCCCACATGGGGCTGACAACCAACAGGTGATGTAAGTAACGGAGTCTACAGACACCGCCTCGCCCTAACCATGTCGCCCCAAGCCCGGGACCTCTCACGGGGGCGGAGTGATGAAGTCGATGTGGCAGGTGACTTACCCGGGCAGGAGCGACACTGCAGCGTAGACACTGACGGGGTTGGGGTGACGTCAGCTGCCTTACGTCGACCTGACTGCCTAGCGCAGCCCAGGACGAAGCGTCTGCCTGGCTCAGCACTCAGGAAAGGTGCTGCAGAATGTGGTGCAGACCCAAGACAGTGGCCAGTCAGGGGGCCTGGCCTCGCCA